ACACAACAAATACCTTCCTATCCATCTCTCTAACATCAACAACAACATTTTAATTATTATCTGAATATTAAAGAGTAGTATGAGGATTTTGCTTATTTGGCCCATAGTAACCTCAAGGTGTCATTGTGCCAGTTACAAACCCATCCAAGTTCTCTCAGACAGAACTTTGGTTTTTGTTGAAATGCTTATGCAAACACAAGTGGGTCGGTGCACGAGGCTGCTAAAAATAGACGTTTATATGTTATAGCAAAGTAATAAAATCAGCATGCAATTTTGTTAGCAAAAAATATAGTTTGATGTGGGTGTTGTTATTGGTGCCTTTTAATATTTTCTGACATGTCTGGAAACATTTTGATAATTTTTTTGCATGTTTTTATGTTGTGTGAGCAAAATTATTTGTTAAACAAAGTCACCATGAAGTTAACATGCTATTGCTTTTCCCTATTTCGTTTAAGACACACATAGTTACAGTGTCTTACCATGACCCTATTCAAGTAATATTTGTTTCATTTTTCCCCATAAATTTAAATCCAAGGTTGTGTGTGGTTATATTATTATTGGGGCACCTTAATTTTCCTCATTAATTAAATGTGATGATTAAACATGAAAAGCATTCATTTTCTAATCAACTTTAATGTAATTTTACTTAGCTATAAAGTGAGAAAACATTTGTACAATATTTTGGTATTGATCTTGTTTAATTAAATTCATGCAAATAAATCTCACTAATTTCATGGACAACAAGATCTTTAATAAGCTTTTCACATCCAATAAACGCATCCTTTGGAATTAGTTCTCTTTATCATTGTGCCAGAGAGCCTTGCTTCAATTGTAAGTCAGACGGGTGAGGGGTGGGGGCTGGAGGCTGTGGAAGATGGATGTTGTGTATGAGACTGCCGGAAAGGCTTAGGGAGAAGCTAAGTGAAAGAGAAAATAGGCTGAAGAGACTGTGCCAGACAGAACGAAGAGGAGATGGTGGGGGAGGGGAGGGCCGACTGTTACCATGGCAACATCAGTTCAGTGTGGGATTTATTTATTTATTTTTCTCCTAGCCTGATGGTCTGGAACATTTTTATTTGTTCCTTCAATCTCAATAAGCAACAAAAGTAACGATCAAAACAAGAAGATTGTGCTTCATTTTACCTTCAAACTGAGACTCAGACTGTAACTTGTTCAAATAATTTTTAATCACCTATCATAAAACAGTATCCATCCATCCATTATCAAGTTCATTTTTTTCTCTCTAGCTATATCGGTACTCTAAACTACCAATACCAAACATATTTACTGTAGTTCAGTTTTGCAAATTTGATATACATCCAGTAAAATTAGAAGTTTGTTTTAAGTGTTAACTGGGTGCAGTTCTCTGTTGTGCTCAAAAACTGGACCAATGATTTTGTGAAATCTTGATAAACAATTTGCTTAGCCTTTTCATATTTTATAGACTAAACATTACTGTCTGATTAAAATAATCAGCAAATTAACATACATGCCATGTCTAAAGTTGATAGAAGCTGGCTATTTTGGCTAGTATGCTTTTATAAAACATGCTTTTATTCTTCATTTTTTAAATTAATTCTTAATTAAAAAGCACAGTATAACTGTGTAGTTATGAAAGCAGAAACAAAATATTGTTCAACAGCTGTGCAAGATCTTAACTTTGATTGTTAAAACATTTTCTTTGTTTTGTTTTAGGTTTTTATTTTGCAAACATAACTGCATTCTCACATTTCAGCCATAATAATGCAGTATATCTTTAAACACAACTTCTCAATAATGTGCTACTTTTCAAACAATATGGCTTAAGTTTTTTTTCCAGAAATGCTGTTTTGTTTTTATCTGATTTGTATTATTTAAATGAATAGAAGTTAATTACAGCTTTTTCTTCTCCAGCCTTCCCCTGGTTTGGTATGGACATCGGTGGGACCTTAGTCAAGTTGGTGTACTTTGAGCCAGTCGATATCACTGCTGAAGAAGAACAAGAAGAAGTTGAAAACCTCAAGTCTATCCGCCGCTACCTCACCTCAAACGTGGCCTATGGTATTTATACACAGTCATGCCTACTAGTTGTTTTTTCTTTGATATGGAAAATCAGATCAAGTATGCCACGTTAAAATAAATCAGAAGATATTTTACAATGTTTGCTTTCACCCAGGTAAAACAGGTGTTCGTGACGTCCACCTGGAGCTGAGGAACCTGACCATGTGTGGCAGGACAGGAAACCTGCACTTTATCCGCTTCCCTACTCAGGCCATGCCTCGTTTTATTCAGATGGGAAGAGACAAGAACTTCTCCAGCTTGCACACGATGCTCTGCGCCACGGGAGGCGGGGCTTACAAGTTTGAGAACGACTTCAGAACAGTGAGTAAAAACCTGCGGATCAACAGACGTGTAATCTTTTAGCTCTTTTCTTACTGGATCTGTCAGAAGTTGCTCTTAACATTTCAAGCTTCCTCAAAATTTAAAAAACAAAGCTCAAGAAAATAGCTGTTGACCATGTTAATGCTGAAAGTTATCAGTACTGTATACTGCAATTGATGCCAACATTAATAATTTTGTCTGACATATTTGACTGGTGTTTTTGTCATCAGTTTATTGGAGAAAGACATTTTGAAGTGCACATTTTAATTTTTGATGATTTCTTTAAGCCGTCTTTCTCTATTCTATGTGATTTCCCTCAGGGCATCAATAAAGTTTACATTAGTCTCTCGCTACTTCGTAGTTTGACTTTTGCAGACTCGTTCTTTTGTGGTTTTTCAAAGTAAAATTGGACATGACACACAATTGGCTGATTGATGGATAAGCTGCAAGATCAGCATGGAATTTTTTTGTTCAAAATAAAATATTTAAAATTATTTAGCACCTGCTATACCTTTGTGGAGCCCACATGTGCAAGGAGAAGCTTCCTCCTGCAGCATGTCGATCTCCGCTCTGCCATGGAGAAGTGGGCGTGGACAAGAGGACTGACAGGTGGCAGAGAGAGTGGAGATCATGACATGCTGTGCTCTTTTAGGACATTTAGCGTTTAGAATCATTGTTTAAAATATTGCAAGAGTGTGGACAGGGTTTAAAATGCCTTTATATATATATATATATTTATATATATATATATGTGTGTGTGTGTGTGTGCATATATATATGTATATACTACTATTCCTATTTGACGGATTTTCATTTATTGTGGGGGTCTGAGAACGGAACCCCCCGTGATAAACGAGGGACTAATGCATTTCTATTTCTATTCTGTTCTACGTCTTCTCAGTATTTTAACTACCATTTATGTTACAGATGGCCGACCTGGAGCTGCTGAAACTGGACGAGCTGGACTGCCTCATCCATGGTCTGCTGTTTCTCGATCGGGTGGGCTTCAACGGACACCCAGAGTGCTACTACTTTCAGAACCCATCAGATACCCACAGCTGTGTGAAAAAACCCTGCAACCTGGAAAACCCCTTCCCCATGCTGCTGGTCAACATCGGCTCGGGCGTCTCTATACTAGCCGTGTACTCTGAGAACAACTACAAACGGGTAACTGGAACAAGGTGAGGGGAACTGAAATTAATTTATGCACACACATACACAAGAAGAACACTGATCATTAGAAAAGAAGTGATAAGCCAAAGTTTGATGAATGAACATATTCATATTTCTGTCATTTACCTAACTTTATATCTACCCAACTATGCCAAGTAATAACATGCTTGCAGCTAATTTTCACTCATGCTTTTGCTTTTTAAACACAAAACAATTTCTCTGTCCTTTTATTCAGACCTAAGTTGAAGCCTCTGTCTGCTCAGGTTACCAAATACTGGGTAACAGTTACAGACATACACAAACACTGTTGGGTTTGTGCTAATGATTTATCACTTTCTGTGACAAAGAACAAATAATGCATATGTGAACGTCCAGCAAATAATATTCTAATTAGGGGTGCGAATCTCTGTGTCTGGTGATCCGATTCGATTCCGATTTTTGTTGTCACGATACGATTCAAAATCGATTTTTGTTTTTATTTTTTTATTTGGAAACGATTTTCGATTCAGAAACAATTTTTCTATTGACATGGTCATAAATTTTGTTTCAATGATAATGTATTTGTAACTGACAAGATGAAAAGATTAAACAACAATGTAAACAAATAGAATATTTATTTAAAACAATCATTTTAGGTTCCTTACTATATCAAATCTTTTTGATTCATTTTATATTTATACCAAAAATAGGTTAAATATAGGAGTACATAAACTTCTAGAACTTAAATTACCAGTATTAGGTTCGCTTAGTTGCCTGATTTTTTTCTAAAAAATAAATAAATAAAATAAAAATCTAAGAACAAATAATTCATCCATCCATCATCTTTATCCACCTCTTCCTTTTCGAGTCACGGGTGTCACTGGTGCCCATAGCAGCAGTCACTGTGTGAGAGGCGGGGACACCTGGACAGGTCTCCAGTCCATCACAGACAAATAATTCAAAATATATAAATATAAAAGTAAACAGACTTCAGCCTACCATAGTACATTAACCTTTAACTCAAAATAAAATACAGACTTCACAGGTTTTTTTTAACCTAATATGAAATATACAGACTTCTATTGATTCATATTTAGTAAATATTTAACAAAATTTCAAAACCTGTGCCAAGTTTGCACAAAAACCTCTTCTGAACTGTAATTTATAAACATCGAAACTGTATCATTTAGAACTTGCTCCAGGTGATGTGTCTCATCTGTCCTCTTCAACCTGTTAAAAAGACAAAGTTAAGTTTGTTGTACAACTTGTCTATAAGTTTTAGTATAATATGAGAAAAAACAGTTACCTTTGAGCTGCAGCTGCATCAGAGCTTCTCCCATCCGTTGTTTCATGGTGAAGTTGTGGTGCTTCTTTATCGCAAAAAAAAATACACGAAGCAATAACGTACATTGAATCCAGCGTATTAAAAATAAAACTAAACTCCTCACCTTCCACTGAGCTGTTTGTTCGTAAATCCTTTGTGATATAGCAGGAGATGGAGAGGGAAGTCTTTGCAGCCGTTGGAGAAGCCAGGAAGTTTGTTGCAGAGTTCACTGGTCGGCTGCTTCGCTTTCATCTTCCGTGAATTTTGTCGTACAGCGAACCCTCGTTTTTCACGGGGGTTACCCCGTGATAGGCGAAATCCGTGAAGTAGTAACCTTTATTTTTTTTTACAATTATTATACAATGAAATACTCCATAATACATTCAAACCAAAGAACAAAACCTTTTTACAGGCCCAAGCATTTGTTTAACAAATAAAAGTACTGTATAAACATTTTTTTTACAAATAACTATTGTACTGGAGAGACTGTTTAGCCAATCAGAATGCAGAACACAATGCAAGATGCAAATCCGTGAAGCAGTGAGACCGTGAAAGGTGAATCGCGTTATAGCGAGGGTTCACTGTATTTCCAAAATACTATACCTCAATTTTATTTTACACTTCCTGTAAACAACTGTGCTCTTGTGAAGCTCTGTCTTCCACTGGAACATTGTAGGATCTAAAATGATTTTTAAAGACGAAGCAGTGGGTTGAATCGTGCTGTCCCCCTCCTCCATGCTAGCAGGCTCCATTCAGATAAAAGGAGATGGCTAACTAGTTTGCTGTACGGTGGCCTACACGGCCAAACTTCTACGGCGGCCGAACGGGGAGTAGGAGCAGAAAAAATATAAAACTTAAATGCATTTTTAAATCTTTTTTTTTTTTTTCCATTTTAAAATCTATTTATGGACCTTTAGAAACGATTCAGAATTGCCAAGACTAAGAATCTAGATTCTTTAAAAAAAATCCATTTTTTTCTGCACCCCTAATTCTAATAAAATAATACTTAAAAATACTATATTTGTGTTTTGCTTTTTGTGCAACCTGACTCTAAAATTAGCATTTTTCTATCATTAGACTGAAATTAACTACATATAAAAGTTTATTGCTGGATCATGTGTCCTGTTAAAGTGTTGGAGCAGAATTTCCACCAATACTCTATGTATAGTTTTACAGGATTATATCAATCCTAAACCAGGAACATTATAACTAAGTGAGGTGATGGACATTTTTTAACCTTATTAGATTTACCAGATATGTCAGACCTGATTGTTACAATTCAACCAAGTCAGTCATTGTCATGTGTTCATAAGTGCTTATGTAACCTTAGAACAAGCTTTAAAAAGCTAGTGAACAGTAAAAACCAACGATAAAACAATCATTGCTTCATATAATTCATGTTAGAATATTATTTCAAATTTAACAACTTTACAGTAGATTCAGCCTTCTTGTTATCATTTATGTTTTCATCCAGCTGATAAGATAACCCAGCTGACTAAAACTGAGTCTGTGTGTTGTTCTGTTCTAAGACACTGCTGGTCATTCATTACGTACTGTAAATCAATCCAAGTGTGGCTCCTCACCATAACATTGAAGTGCATGTTGTGTATTTGTTTATGTGTCTGTGTATTGTACACCCTTCGATTTTACACACTTTGATAAAAAAAAAAAGTACATTTTGTGTTTTCTTGCAGTTTTTAATTGTAAAAAGGAGTATGTGAGATTTAGGACTTCTGGTACAAAGCTAGATTAAGTTTAGGTTTAGAGTTGTCATATGAAAATGCCTTTTAAAAAGCTTTTAACTGTTAATTTACTTAGCATTTATGTCAAAGCAGCAGCTCCTTAACCCGGTCATCATTTCTTCATCCTTACATGTGTATCACCCAGGTCTTTGTTTTCTGGAATAATTTAATTGCTGTGAGAAAATGTGAAGTTTTATGTTGTTGCTGATGAGATAATCTGAAGTTGGACGTCAAGTCTGCACGTCCCAACAAATTCTTTAAAACCAAAGTAGACATGAATTTTATAACCTCTGGCAAAAAAAAGATCATCTTAAAGGCAGTTCTTTTTTTATTCATGCTATTTTAATCCTTTTTTTTCCCATCCACTGATTCCTTTGTTCATTTTAATCTTGTTTTGCTTTTTGCTACTTGGCTTCTATGTTCAGCTCTTCTCCTTATCACCGCCATCTCTGAGCTTATCAGTATCAATCTCTTCTGACATCTTCCTATTATCGTCTGTGTTCTCATCCTCTGTCGCTGCTTTATTTTCAGTCTGGGAGGTGGTACGTTTCTGGGCCTCTGCTGTCTTCTGACGGGCTGCGAGACATTCGAGGAGGCGTTGGAAATGGCTAGCAAGGGCGACTCTACAAACGTGGACAAACTGGTGAAAGACATCTACGGGGGAGACTACGAGCGCTTTAGCCTGCAGGGTTCTGCTGTCGCATCTAGGTGAGCGTGACGTTGACATTGGTGAATGTCAGATTACAAAGGTTCAGTGCCATTTGATCTCAGGCATGAGTTCTTATAACCAGTCTGGCAGGTCCCAGTGAGGATTAACAGGATGTCATTTCTCAACTTATAAATATACATATTTTCTAGTTTCTCTAACTGGACTTCTGGTGTTTAGTCATTTGCAACACTGGTTAAAACAATAACGTGAGTTTTATAATTGTTGTAAACACAAGAAAGTTCAAATTCATGTGACTGCACAGCTGCTGGTGGTTTGGATGAACTTTATGTGTTCAGTGGCTGTGAATAATGTTTATTTGTTTATTCACAGAAACAAATACTAAAGAAAAAACAAAAAAGTTAAGACTTTCAGCTGCATTCTCTCTCATAAATCTAAATAAGCCTTAACAAATTTGTTCTCAATCAATTCTGAGGTTATTTAGGTCATTTGATCCATATTGTTAGCCTAAATGTGTAAAGTCTTTAAATCATCTGAGAAACTGCACTTTATTTAACACATTCCTCATGCTCAATAATAAGAGCAGGAGTAATTTGAAATGTGAAGTTTTATACAAAATATGCATACCTGAAAATGATGTGTAAAATTAAAATAAACTGACCCTTAGCGGTAACATAACCACAGTAGTTCAAAGTTTAATCCATAAAGTAAACGGACTTTATCACAAAAATCGTGTTATAATCAGCGTGTGCTGTTATGATGTTCCCTTCTATCACGTACCTAAACACAACACTCGGTGATAAACAACATGATGTAAGGTTGAAGGTTCTTTTCTTTGCTTTATCTTGTTCAGATTTTGATCTGCAACTAAGAGAAATGTTTTTATGTTTTATGTAAGGCTACAAAACTCTTTCACGTGTCGGGCTTTGTGTGCCATGTTTTACAGTTTTGGTCACATGATGTGCAAAGACAAGCGAGACAGCATCAGTAAGGAAGACCTGGCGAGAGCCACGTTGGTCACCATCACTAATAACATAGGATCCATAGCACGCATGTGTGCTGTTAATGAGGTAAGCACACAGACACAGGATCCTGGGGGGTAGACTTGGAAATAAGGATAAGAACATAGACTATGTTGAGCTAAAAGTCACAGTTTTTGGTGTCTTTTAAAAAGACCCAAAAGCTTGTTTTAATTTGTATGTGTGTGCATAAGGTTTGTGTTTTATTACAGCAGCCACAACATCCTGGAATTCCCTCCCAGCTTGCTGTAAATATTCATGGTTAATAATGAAATATTGCATGAATGATAGGCATCATTACAAATACCAGTAGGTGGAAATGAAAAGCACATGGTTCTCTGGTTTGTAATATCCCAGAACGCTATGTGAAAAGCTGAAATTGGACTGGAGGAAGTCTTTGTGGCAGCAGTGATTTATTTTGATGTGGAGTGAATCAGTCTCGAGTCTTTCTGTGTGCTGTGAGCTTCTTTACAGTGTTGCCTTGTGGCATGGCGATCAAGCAGCATTGTACAGGGCTATCACTGCACACTGAACTGCAGCAAGGACGCATATTAAACCCATCCTTATACGACTGTAGCCTTTTTGTATTTAAAATGATGTCATTAAAATTAAATGTCCCATTCTAAAGCATAAACGACCTGTTATTGTATTTCTAAAAGATCTGGATCCTACAGTTTAGTTGAAATAACCATAGAAACACAATGACCTGATAATGTGTACTGATATTAATTATATGATTGTAAAATGTATTTGTGGTACAAAAACAAATTCTTATCTTTGTCAAGCTTTATTGGAAGCTTTTTTGGTTTGTGGTACATTTAGTGATTTGCTGTTTACTGAGAAATTCACAGTAAGTCAGTGCTCCACCACCACCTTGTGGTACAAATTAGATGTTGCATCAGTTTCTGATGACGTTTTTATAGAAAGTGGTTTCTATTCACTTCCATCCATCCACCCACTTCCATCCATCCATCCATCCATCCATCCATCCATCCATCCATCCATCCGCTTTTTACCAGCTTCTTCCTTTTTGGGTTGCGGGTGGTCACTGGTGCCCATATCCAGCAATCACTGTGCAAGAGGCATGGGACACCCTGGACAGGTCTCCAGTCCATTAAAGGGACACATGGAGACAAACGAGACAAACAAAAATTCACTCTCTCACTCACACCTATGGACAATTTAGAGTTACCAATCAGTCTAACATGCATGTTTTTGGTCTGTGGGAGGAAACCGGAGTACCCAGAAAAAACCCACGCATGCACGGAGAGAACATACAAACTCCACCCAGAAAGGTCCCCGGCCGGGGTTTGAACTGGGGTGACCTGCTCGCTGAGAGGCAGCAGCTCTACCAACTGCGCCACCGTGCTGCCCTCAATTCAGTTAATTTATCAATCAATCAGTTAAACTTTATTGTCCATAACATTCAATGAAATGGAGATTTGTCTTTGACATCTGGCTCATAAAAACGACACAAGTTAAAAATGTCATTAAAAAACTTTAAAAAGCTTTGCTAACTCAATTAAAAACATTCAATTAAAGGTATTATAAAATACATGATACATTAAAATATGGAAACATCCCAGCAGACAATGGTTTGTCATGTGAGGCTGCGTTTGAATAGGACCTTGTTAAGTACATTCACCGCAGAGGGAACAAATTACTTTTTGTACCCATTTTTCTTTGCTAAAGGAACCAGCAGTCTTCTGCCAGATAGTACCAACCTGAATAATGCTTGCAGTGGATGAGCTGGGTCATTGTAAACCTGGATTGACTTTTTTCCAAAACCTGACTGTGCAGGTCTGTAAGTGTCATTTGTTGATGACCAATGACTTTGCTACCATGTTTGACCACCCGGGACAACTTGTGTGTGTCCATCCATCCATCCATCCATCCATGAAGTGCTTATATAGCGTCATGTCACAACAGAAGTCATCTCAGGCACTGAACAGAAACATGTCTTCAAAAATATTGTGTCATAGTCCTAAGCACTGTGCATACTGTGTATCCACTGATTTATTTTATTTTTTTTACATTTTGGTTTATTTTTACATGAGAAAAGACACTAACATTCTTAAGATTTCTGCAAAGAAAATATGCACTTCACTTCGTGTGCATTGTACACAGTGTACCAATATTTGATGCCATCAGTAAAAATGAATTTGAAACATTTAGGGAAATGAGAGGAGCATGTAATACAAAAACTTGTCATGACACAAGGCAAAGACTACTGTATTTTTATCTTTTTAATTAAGCATTTTTCTTATGGTTTCATCAATTTATTCTTCACACATATGTTGTTTATTGGTCATATGCAGGTTAACAGAAGGTCAACAACACAATAAAAATGTTCAGGATAAGATGAACCGATTCGACTCGCTAAAAACAAACAAAAAAACAAACAAACAATAAATACTAACGCATGCAATAAGGGTACAAAATAAGTACCAAAAATTGAAAAAGAAATATATTTACAAGGTCCAAAAGAAACAAGAAACAGCACACATGTAAGTAACACAACTGTATTTATTTTTCCTTGTATCAGAAAATTGAACGTGTGGTGTTTGTGGGGAACTTCCTTCGAATCAACACTCTGTCCACTAAACTACTAGCCTACGCCATGGACTACTGGTCCACAGGACAACTGAAAGCCCTCTTCTTGGAACATGAGGTGAGCAATGGGCAAATAAATGTGAGCTTAACCTCAGGTCAAACTGTTCAGCACAGATATTCTCCAAGTGTAGAACACGTGTTGGCATGACGGGAGCATGTGATTGGCCGGTGTTTTATTTACCGGTATTTAATTATTTGTTTATTTATCTATCTATCTAAAAGATTGCCATGGTTAACATTTTGAATGACTGGGACTTGTTTTTGCATTGTACAATAAACAAACCACACTTTCATGGGGATTACATGGAGCATGACTGCGCGAGAACGAGTCCACTCCTTAACTTTATTTATGTCCAAAATAAAAATAAAATAAAATTTTCTTTTTTCTTTTTATTTTTTGCTGCTCATCCAGCATGTTCTATGAAACCATTCAAACTGCAGCACTTTTTTTTTGTTCATTTTGTTTTTGTCTTTATTCTAATTAATCTCATAATGCTTTCTCAATTCTTTGTGTGTGTGTGTGTGTGTGTTTGGTTATGTTCCATTTGGGGACTTGAACAAGCATACACACCAGTCATTTGGGGACATCTTGGCAATTGGGGACCAAAACCACGGTCCTCAATTAGAATAGCTTATATTGGCATTCCCTCCGAACAGGGCTGTGTGTGTGTGTGAGGTCTGTCTTGCATGCACTTGTCAGTATTTAAAAAATGTCCTTAATCTGCTAAATCTTCCTTAGCCAGCAAAAACATTTTAAAATGTTCACGTTTAAAAGACAGTCTTGCTTCACTTTAAAGCATTTTTCAAGGTGTGTGTGAGAAGTGTCCTATTTTTTTTCTCTCTCCTTGTTGCTTAAGGGCTATTTTGGAGCTGTGGGGGCACTGATGGAGCTGCTCAAGATGAAGGAGGACCTGTGAAGTAATTCTGTCATCTCCACAGATCAATCTCAGCCTCCAATGCTACGACGTCATCATCTCTAATTGCTGGGACATCATTGTTTGATTCTGTTGAAAGTTTACCTCTAAAGGAACACTGAGAGAGGGACAGAGAAACAGAGAAAAGCCATTTTAATATATATTAACAATTGTAAATATTGATAACCTCTAATGGTCATCGGAAGCTCCAGAGTCCTTCTATCATAGAGATTTAATAATGTAATTATTAATTTATGTTTTTTGTTAGCTCCTGCAAATCTCTGCCAGGAACTATAATCAAACAAAATATTTTAGTATTTTGGGTTATTTTTGGGGGGTTGGGAAGGCAGGGGGTTACTGTGTTTGTGTGAACAGCAGGTGCAGAGTTACACCTTGGAGACAGTAGTGTGTCTGGTGACTGCAGCTGCTGTTCAGAAAAAGAAAAGTATTCACACCACATATAAGAAGTCACTCTAGACTGAGTGATTTTTTTTTACCACGTTTGACTTGAGGAAATAGTATTTGTTCAACCACAGAAACCCTATTTTGGAGGTCAGGAGGTTTGTTTGCATGTTTGTTGCACAGTCACCCACAGCACTACCCTCTTCTTAGGAGAGCACTGAAGCCAAATCCAGTTGAGGTTTACCTGCCTCCTCTTGCTCAGATGAAAGCAGATAAACGGTTTATTATCTGACTTTTGCTCCACTGCATATGGCCTTTGCTTCTTGTTTGTGTCTTGTGTTAGCAGTGCTAACACTTGTATTGCCATGCACAGATACCAAACGTGCTGAGTTTTGTCTGAAACACCCGGACCATAACAGAATGTTCCCGCAGCTCGGAGTGCTGATTTCTGTGCAGGACCCAGTGCAACTCAGCAACTTGTGCTATGTTATGAGCGAGCTTTTATTTCCTAGTCTGCTTTTTCCTCACCCCCTGCCTTCTCTGCCACGCTACTTCCATGTTTGGATGTCATAGTGTAGTTCGTTAGTCGTTCCCGCTGATAAATATTTGTTTATTGTGAGCATCTTATTGGTGCAAAACAACAGAGGGGAGCAAGAAGCTAATTGACTCAAGTCGCTCAAAATCTTGGCTAAATATTCTGCTAAAGCTGTAAACCACTGTTTACTAATGGGATTGATGAGGTCCAGTTTCAAATCATCTCCCTCTTCCCACTTACACAAAATATATTTAGAGTTCTCATGTTCTCCTTCTACTGATTACATTCAGCTGCTTCAGTGCTTCATTTCAGTTAACTATAAAACGGTTTTGGCTTTAGTTGGGTCCAATGCTAACCACATTACTGAAAACTAAACTGTGGCACAAACTAGAACTTATAAAGCTGTTCAGGGTAATGAAAGGCTGTGGTAGCTCAGTGGTCAGCGCTGCAGTTTTGTAATCCTGGGGCTGCTGGTTCAAGCCCAGATTACATCAGGAAAGGCATCCAGCATAAAACAATTGCAAAATCTTTCATGCGAGTTTGCTCACTGTGGCGACCTCAGCTGAAGCATGCAGCCAAAAGAACAACAGTCAAATAAGGACATGATCTTGTAAGCCATATGTACTAACTGTTATCCTGAGCTAAGCAACACCCATACTTCTATTTCTAAAGAAGTCTGCATTTTTCTTCCGCAAGCTGAAATTAAGCCTAATGCTGTCAGAATTTTGTCACTTATAATGTATAGCAGAAACAGCTGTGGCTTCACAATCAATAAGATTTCTTTTGGTTTTATAGATCTTAGTGAAAGTGGTTTGAAGAAAAATCGACCAAGAGTAAATTTGTTTTTTTTTCCTGTAGCCTTGTAGAGATGCTGCATGCACCTTGTTTAGCTACGCCTTGACTTTTACAACCTCCATCTCTTTGTTTCATCAAAGCAGGACAGTTCTGATGTTCCAAACGAAACGCTAGTTTACACGATGCCACTCTCAGATTGAAGTCACGTTTCATTGATTCACCTTAACCCTCTTCTGCATCCATGAATATTTCAGTTTCAGCTGCAGTTCAAAGCAAAGCAAGGGTTCTGAAGGTCTTATTGACAGAAATGAGCCGTTGCTGTTATCAAGAGACCTGGACTACACTTTGACCCTCTAACATGTTTGCTGCTTTGTTGTTTTCTTTCTTCTATGAGCTGGTTTTATCCATAGATACTCCGAACACACAAACAAAATATGTGAAAGTAATGAAAGCCTTTGCGAAGAAATACTACCAGTATTTGGTTTACTAGTTCTTTTTAAAGAGACGTTTTTGCAATCGTCTCTACAAACCGTCATTGTTTTCAATTCTACTGCAATGACGCTGCAAAAAGTGACACAAACTGTGTTCTTCGCTTTTTTTTTCTTCTTGTATTTGCCTTTGTTCCAACTCATGTTTGGATGCTAACCTGGCTCCGTCAGGTGCCACCGTGCTGTAAGATCCAGCTGGTGTCGGTCATCTTCGTGCCACCCCGTCCTTCAGCCTGAAAACTTGTATCAGTTGCCTTTACTGTCCGTGAGCCTGCCGTCACCGTGTTTGTGCCCTTCAGTTTCACGCTTAATTACAGTTTCATCCTGAAACTCTCTCGTTTGTGTAATGTGCATGTAGATTTTTTTAAAGGCATGTTCTTGTTTTAATTTGTTTTCATGTTTTTTTGGGGCTTGTACTGTAAAAAAAATAATAAAAAAAGATGAACATTCACAGCTCAGCTGCTGTGTTAGCTTCCAGTGGTACTGCAGTCGTGTTGACTGTCAATGTGAAACATTTTAGAGCTGCAATATTCTTTAGATATTACAAATTTTGGAGCAAAACTTCCAATTTTACATGTTAAACTTTTTTTTTTTCTGGGTTTATTGTTTTTGTTGGCATTACAGAACCGGTGTGATTTTGTTATGTTTTATTTTTTTAATGTAAATTCATCTTCAATCTGTCTGCAAAAATATTTCCTAATTTGCTCCACTTATAACACCGTCACTTTTAAAGATGTATTATGGTCCCGAGAGTGTTTGATAATCTGCTTGTGATGTTTGGCCTTATTGGTGGTTGCTTCGTGTCAGTGTTGTCTTCAAAAGGGAACATTTGAACAGATTTGGGGGTCTTTGTTAATTTTAAAGTTTATTTGTAAATCCCACTTTAATTGTACAGTTGTAAATTTTACACGGTGTTCTTAAAATGATCCCAAGCCAGAAGTTTGAATTGTTCTTGTAGTTTTGGATATAAAAATTCAGCTTTCCTGTTTGTCAGCTTTAATACTGGTTGTGATTTATATGTTTTATGTGTTTTTTTTTGTTTGTTTGTTTGAATCCGGTTGTTAATTTCTGCCTGGGATCATCCGCCTTCACAATGGTGTGTATTTTCTTGTACCGTAAAGAGCTCATAAGCTTAAAGCACCAACTAAAACAAACGTTTCAAGTGTCATCTCTAACGAGCTATGCAGTAACTCACCCATCTATCTTTGTCCTTTCTAACAAACTTGTTTATTTTTTTCTTCTCTGAATCAACAAGAGTACGTTTGAATTGTATGTAAATACTTCTTTGGAAAATATGCAACCCTATAATTGTCCCCTCACCCGCTTGTGAAATCCTGTTTGAAACTTGACAGAGAACGTTTCTCTTCCTAAAGAGTTCTGTCCTGCTGATGTTGTTGTTGTTGACTTTAACGAAGCAGATGCTTGTAACAGGATGTTCTAGACCCAATTATGCACCAAAGGATTTGGACAAACGTGTTTTATTAGTTCATCTTATGATCATAGCTAACAGCTGTTTTATAATATTCTGGATGCCGAATTAGTTTAAACCAAGTTCTCATTATTTAGTTGGAAAAATAAATATGTAAGACTTAAGGCTCTTTGTGATGTCCTAATGTTTGGTCCTTTGTTGTGTTTTTGCAGCTGTTTCTCAGAGTTTCCTAATCTGGTCCAACATCCTGTTGCATGAGCATTTGCAGGCTTTAAACTGTCCGTGAATGCTTGACTGGCAGGACAGATGTATTCACCCTTCTGTATTTGATTGTACAGAGATTTGTAAATAATAATATTATTAATATGATATATTAGACACCAGCAATCTGTCTGTTGATGAAGTGGTTTTAAATGTTCTGAACCTGGTTTCCTAAATGCAGCTCAGAACTTCTTATACAGGCTGAACGCAGACAGAAGAAGCATCGAGCAAAGCTTTGTTTCCTTTGTGTGTCTGCTTTACCAGCACTGACCTGTTGAGCAAAGGTATCGGATGGGTTTAAAGATTTGTACTCAGATGGGTTTAAAGATTTGTACTCAGAGTTGCTTGGCTGCTCTGCTGAAGATTTGTGCCAGTTGTTGGCCTCGGCTCCTCGGAGCCTGAGAGGTTTTGGGAATCTTAGCGCTGGTTGTTGTTGTCAGTTCTGCTGCTGCTTTTAACGTTGGTTAAAAGAAAAAAAAGGATTAATTTAAAAAAACTGACAATTTAAGGAAGTCTCCTTGCTTTGTGCAATGTGTACTGAAGTGATTTGTTTTTCTAACAAGGAATTAAACTAAAACTGGAAATGAAATGTGTTCTGGGTTTTTATTTATTTCCTTTTATTATTTTTGCACATTTTTTGTTTAAAGTTTTGACATCAGTAAAAAAATCCCATAAAGCAAAGTGGATGTTTTAATGAAACTATTGGGAAATAATTCCTGTTTACAGCTCTACAATTAAATACATTTTGAGGTCATTCTAAATTAATTTTACTGTGTCATATAATCCAACATTGCCCACCACCAAATGACTACAATTATAATTTATAATAATTATGCCATTTTTCAATATTAAGATAATCCTAATCTAAACCTCAGACATGAAAGGTGGCAGACATTCGGAAAACTAGACCTTGAATATATTTCTGTAATGTGTGAAATGCTAACAAGTAGAAACTGGGAAAGAAAAGATGAAAAGCATTACAAAGTTCTAAGAAGAGTGAAGAGCCTCAGTGTTTTATTTTGTGTAAAACACCACATGATGGGAAACCTCATGTTTTAAATCTTAACTATATGTATTTTTATCTATCAATGAATTTATTTTCTAACAATCTTAGCTGCTTAATAGAGGAGTCATCCTGAGTTTGATCATTAAAATTGTGATTTACCTCCTAGGTTGCCAGATGTTGCTCGTGTTTGTAAAAAATTGGACTCAAAATGCAACGATGTAGAAAATCAAGATGGCCTCAGGTCAGAAAACTAAAAGCAATATACCTTGAATTGGCAAAATTCACAATAAAAAACATGAACATTTAGAAACGCCAATCAACAATTAGAAGAAATAAACTGTACGTGAAAGTAAAGCAACTCCAACGACACAGCACCAAGATGTGGATTCTGTCATTTAGAACTTGTCAAACATAAAACATGCTTCCCATCGGGGGAGCTTTCTCCATTCAAAACTGGAAGTTGTGGAGTTTCATGCTGTAACTGTATGCTCCAATCATGAGAGTTGAACTTGCAGATATCCTCCCTCCTGAGGGTCATTAGGGTTTTTGTTTGCCTGGCTCACAAAATAATCTCACAAGATTTGGCTGTGGTCATTGGGGTCAAAACACAAACCACTTCTACTACAGTCCAGTTCAGGGGCAGTTCAAGGATCTGACCTTCAGGGGTGCTTTGCCCCCTCTACTAATGGCTCTTGGCTTGAACAACGCACCCCATAGTGTGGTTTTTGAGAAGTGCAAGAGCTTACAGCACCTAGTATTTCCAGGCAGTCTTCCATCCAAGTACTAGCCAGGCCCGACCCTGCTTAGCTAACGAGATTGGGCGAGTTCAGGGAGGTACGGCCATAAACGAGGAGCTCTCTCACAAATAGGACATTTAAAGGGTCATAGCAAACAAAGATTAAACTTATGCAACCAGAAGTTGCAACATAAATCTACCTCTAGAACACACAAAACAAAGCACAACTAGCTTCAAGCATTAACCTTAAATTTAACTTTTAACCTCTGGCTGCAAAATGTTTGCAATGCAAAACTCCCACAATGCTGTTGGAGGAAGTTGCTCTTGAAGGTAAGGGGCGTTTACCTTGGGGACAAATTGAGGTCGCCGATTGGTCAGTTGCTGACGAGCCTATTGGATTGATTGACAGGTGGCTTTGAGGATCTGACGTGCAAAAAAAAAAAAGATTTTACTGGTCCATTTGAGACAACACGGTGGCGCAACTGGTAGAGCTGCTGCCTCTCAGCAAGCAGGCTACCCTAGTTCAAATCCTGGTCCGGGGGCCTTTCTTGGTGGCGTTTGCATGTTCTCTCTGTGCATGTGTGGGTTTTCTCTGTCCAGTTTCCTCCCACAGACCAAAATCATGCATGTTACACTGATTGTTAACTCTAAATTGTCCCTAGGTGTGAGAGAGAGAGTGGATGGTTGTTTGTCTCTATGTGTCCCTGTGATGGACTGTGACCTGTCCATGGGTGTCCCCTGCTTCTTGCACAGTGATGGCTGGACATGGGCACCAGTGACCCAAAAAAGGAAGAAGCAGGTAAAGATAATGGATGGATGGCCTATATGAGTGTCATCATTTATTTCAAATTCATTAAATATTTTGGTAAATCCAAGATTTGAGAACATAACTTCCTTACAAAATCCTAATGATGGTTTCTTAATTTTTCAGGGCTGCTGAGTTAAAATTTAGGAGTGCTTGAACACCCCTCAAAATAGGCTAAAATCACCACTGGTGGTCCAGGTGCTTTGTTTTTTAAGCTTTTAGAACAGTACAAAAGTGACAGATTAATGTGGGTGTGGTAGGATTGTCCTCCATGATCACTGAAAATAAGAACCTGTGTGGCAACCTTATTGTTATTCACTACCTTTGCTGTAAAGATGGACATTGTACCACATTCTCCTTCCATCAATGGAAAGCATGAAGTGTGCTAAATGTATCTTATCATAAGACTTTAGAGTTGAAACTGTTCTTTAGGAAAGTTAATGACAAAACTACTTTCACATAAAAGTTTAAACTGTTTTATTACACAGTGCTTAAAACATAGTTATAAAATAAAAAAATGAAAACACTTGCATTATTGGGGACCGTTCCTCCTCCTGCTGCTCCTCCTTCTTTCTCCCCTTATATCTTGAGCTTGCAGACTCTCTTGTTTGTCTTGCAAACCACCGTCATGGTGTTTGCAGGACATGAACCAGCAGGAAAAACTTTGTTCGATTTTGTCTGAAGAACATTCAGGCACTGAAGCTGTGATTCTGTGCAGCAGCAGAAGCAATAACTGGGCTGATGTAAGTAAGTATAATAAAATTACTTTTCTCATGCATCTTGTTTAGCTTTCACTGATCCTGATATTCTTTTACCCTCTCCCTTTGGGTTTATTTATAGTTTTATTCTACTTTTTTTCCGTGACAGTTTAAATCCAACTCTATAAAAAAGTATTAAAATTGCACGCAGTGTCTTGCAGCAACATTAAGCATGTTTTAAAGCAGTATGTACTGTCAAATTGAACTGGAAAAACATGTTTGAGTATAAAAATGTATTCTTTATAAATGCACAGTTTATATCAATATCTTTAAAATCAGCATTGAATGAACTAAGCTTTGATTAATTTATTTTCAGCCTTCAAAATGTATTTGCAAAGGTTAAAATTTGCTGTCATTGGTATGACTGCAGCTCTGTGAGCAGTGCCTTATATTCCTGAGACTGCAGGTTTGACAGGAAGGTCATCCAGTGCAAAACAAATGCCAAATCTTTCATCTGAGCCTACTTGCTGTGGCAACTCCTGAAAAGGGAGCAGCGACAAAAAAAAAAAAAAAAGACAGCAACGTCATGCCGATCATAACAGGTTTCACTTATTTTGCCTAAACATGTTTTTTTTTAATGTTTTCGTAGCTTACGGCTGGCTTACCTGACACAAGTGATTTCAGAGACTTTCAGTCAACTCACACAAACATTATGCAAACTGCAGCCTGTCATTTTGTAGAGATAAGCCTTCTCAGAAACAAATGACAAAGCAAAACAAACTGTGTAGAAACCTTTGAACAGAGAAAACAAAATATTTCAACAGAACTGATAAACTCTCATTATCACCCCGAGCTGAAGGTGGCTGTTCTTTATATATATATATATATATATATATATATATGTATATATATATATAT